TGTGGTTATGCTTTCTTATGGTATTGTGCACGTGTGGTTGCATTCTGCCGTTGTCCCGTGTTATCGTGCTCTACGATGCCATCGTGCTCCACGGTGTGTAATCGTGGTCCATTCCAAGCCCACCCCTGTGCATTTGGTGGGTGTTCCGCAGTCCGTGCAATCGTGTTCTTATGTACGGCTGTCCTCCGTGGCTCGGTACGCTCAGGCTCTACACTGGTATGGTGCTCCGTGACTCGGTGATCTCGCGTGGCAGCGTGTTCTCCGATGGTTAAGTGGCTAACCCACCGTCCATACTGTCGTGTTATGTCTGGTGTTGGGGCTGGGCTGTCGTCTGTCTTATCGTTAGCTACCGTAGTGTCGCGCTCCGTGGATCGGTGAGCTCATGTTCTACCTAGGCATCGTGCTCCAAAAATTGATGATTTCTGATTTCCCGTATCTGGCCTCCTGCGGGCTCAGGTTTGGTCGGTTGACTGTGCTCCATGTTTACCCGAGGTGTTGTTGGAGTATTGTTTCTGTGCACTCGCACCGATACGTGTTCTACCGTGGCTTCGACCGTCCGTGCTCTTCCGTAGCCCGTGCTTTTCAGCATGCTGGGGTGTCTATGTATTTAGTTCCCTTCCGTGGCCCGTACGTTCCTGTCATGTTCTCTCCATCTGTTCTTTTCATGGCTGCGTGCTCTTTCATCTTTCACGCTACTTATAAAACCTCGTGGTTTGCATCGGCTAAGTCCTCTATCATCGTCCATGGCCTTCCGTGCTTCGTGTTGCTCTTCTATCCCATCGTGTACATAGTGTAGGTCGGTATTCCTTCGTGTTTCGTGTCCTTGCTTAGACATGTGCATCCGCGCCAGCTTAATCACAAACGCTGTTCCCATTTTGTTTGATGTACACAACGTATATTGTTTGATGTACACAACGTATATTGTTTGATGTACACAACGTATATTGTTGGAAAGTTCACATAATATCTGAAGGTCGCACACTACGCGCGCAAATACAACGGAAGACAATAGTTTATTACGGAGGTGCAGGGGTGTAAGCCACAATAGTCATATTTTAAAGTTTTCACATTATTAATAATAGTAGTCGAAGTGTGATTTATTATAAACGCTGATATAATTATTATGTGTACTACTACTACAAATGACTGCAAGCAAAAATATGAAATGCCTTGGTAATAGTACTAAGAAAAATAATATTGTAAGTTAAATTAGTACAGCAGTACTACGAAGCCTAAAACATCATTCTAAACTCAATAAGTACTAAAGTTTCGATTGAGGCCAAAATATAAGTCACCAGGGCCTATATATTTTTTCTTCAGCTTCTACGACGATATAGTACGTGTTTGCTTATCGGCGCCTTTTAATTCAGCTAACTAACGCGTACACAGGCAGCGCCCTTTGCGTGAGGTGGCGAACCGCAGCTGAAAATAAGAGCAAAATCTAATTTAAACGGTGCAGTTAAGTACGATGTGTAGTCCACATGCAGTAAGTACAGCACATAATATCTGTTTTAGCCAATTGGGGCCGCCTTCGCTGCGCTCGGCAGCTTTTTAGCGAATCGACGCCGCCTTCGCTGCGCTCGGCAGCCAGTAGAATGTGCGCATTTGCGTTACATTAATTAACCCTAGCCGCGGACGGACGTACGGACGGACAGACAACACACTCCACTAGAGGGGTTGAACGACGCCCACCAAAGCACGCGACACCAAGAGAGCGTCTATATTTGCGGGCCACCTCATCTCCAACAATCCATGCCACTCCGCCGCGTAGCGGCGGCGAACGGCTAGTTTGCGTTACATTAATTAACCCTAGCCGCGGACGTACGGACGGACAGACATCCAGACTCCACTAGATGGGGGTAGACTAGCCGTTCGCCGCCGCTACGCGGCGGAGTGGCATGGTTTGTTGGAGATGCGGTAACTTCAAATTTAAGTGCTTCTAGGTGTCGCGTACTTTGTTAGCCTCGTTCACCCCAGTAGGTCGCGGCATCGTGTATTTAACCACTTGCCTTTCCGTAGTCTCATGTGGCCCTGTATAATATCGTGGTTTGGAACGTTTCCGTTACCCGTACTACAGGCTGGATGTTGTTTTCTTCAATAGCCCATGCTCTTTCGTACTCTTCCCGGCTTCGTGGTTCCTGCTCACCCGTGGCCCACGCTGCTCAGCGGTTATGCGCTCTCTCTTATGGGTTCATGCTCTTTAGTGCGGCCTTTTTCGTGACTGCCAGATATTTCCTGTTCTCAAACGTTTACGTGGGCTGCACGGGTTTTGCGGTACGCAGTCTTTCGTGGCCATTGGCCTGGAACTCTAACCAAAGGGTGCTATTCCGTGCTTTGGTGCCTCCATGCAGTCGTGTGGTTCCGTCGCCCGTGCATCGTGATCTCCTGATGCAGTGTCATCGACCGCGGTATCACGCTATCGTGCAATCGCGGTGTGGTTATGCTTTCTATGGTATTGTGCACGTGTGGTGCATCTGCGTTGTCCGTGTTATCGTGCTCTACTTGAAATGCGATAGCCTTTTCCACATTCAGCTAAATGGGTAGGCCAGGGTCGTTCGGTGTATATAAGCGA